CGTCGGTATATCCTCGGAATACCTTTATTCCGACGACATTCCGACAAATTTTTCCGTCAAAATCGCCGTATTTTCTTGTAGTGGTCTGTTCAACCTATGACATCTCTAGGTTAAAAAAAGAAAAAAAAAACCCCCATCATTTACATATTAATTTAATTCTATCACAGAAATGCATATTCGCAAACAACGTTTAGTGACCTAACTATCCTTTTATACTATTATATACTATAAATTTGGAAATTCAACAATTATATGTGTGCAAGGCACAGACCATAATTACACAATTGGTGATGATCATGAAATATGGCAATAATGATGGAACTGAAATTTTCAACTAACCAAAATAGTCTCTGGTCCAGCAAATAAATTAAATAATAAAATTAAACAACAGAAACCCATAGCATAAACTAAGACAATAAATATATCGTGCATAATTTTTATTTAAATATTTATTATTTAATTTGACGACAGGAATTCAAATTTCGATAACAAACTTTGAACTGAATAAAATAATCTAAATTAAAAGAAAGTTTAACTTGCTTCATTTAATTACCACATCAGCACACTTCGCTTGACAACTCCAAGAATTTAGACTATCAATCTTCGTTCTCTACCGCTATAGAGCATGAGCACTGAGGGATCAACAAAAAGTTTATACGGTTCTCAAAAAAAAATATTAAAATAACCTGATTCTGTTGAATCCGCGTCGTGTGAACTCTCTAAGGTGACCCTATGTTATCATTGTTTCGTGGACCTCACACTGCGTAACGACCTACAATTAGTGCGTTAATTTATGTTTTTTAAATAAACGAAAAAAAAAAAACAAAACTTGAACTCCTCTCCTTGGGTTATTGATGTTCATCTCATTTCCTCGATTGCTAAAACATTCAATGCCATTACGCCATCACAGTTCTTGACGATCTCCCCAAAATTTCCACCTCCACTAATCTAACGCTCTTAAAGCTGAAAAGAAAGTGAGGTTAAGGATATCATACCCGAAAAACAGCAACGGGGGCCTCAAGAAACCACCGGCCAATGACTTGAAAACAACTGAGAGAGAGGCAAGCGAATGATGCATTCTTCAATGCATGCAATAAGAAGAAAAACCGTCTACGAGGAAGACCAAGTGATCCACCGCGCACTAGAATGATCGTTCCATAAATAAGTCTCCACATTGATTCAAGACTCGACTGGCCCAATTTTGTGACTCAAACCGAATCCTTACTCCAGAAGCACAAAACATGAGCCGGTCTTATTTGCACATCATCGTTGAAACCGCACTGGAGAAATGAGGAGCAATAAATGATGCTGAAAGCTTCCGAACACACACAAACAAATAAATACCACCATGCAATGACGAGGACATGAAAAATGGAGAGCAGTACCCATAAAGAGGAAGAGAAGACATAGAAGAAAACTCTTTGAATCCTTTACCTTGATTGCAAAAGGTAAACAACAGTGATGAATTGACCACACAATCACTTCATCCTCCACGCACACTCTGCCGAGATAGATTCATCGTCACCCCTGGAAAAAAGGACATACCATCAACGGATGGTAAGAAACCAAGTCGCCAGCAAGGAAAAGCTTTACACCCCACTCCACTACGAAGTGAGACACCTCAAATAACCCACACGACCTGATTGGAGGAGAAACTCCGTCACAACCGTCATGCGCCTCGAACTGTTTACATCTTGAGATCTACAAAGTATGGAATAAATATCCGAGAAGTCGACGCCAAAAGCCGATGCTGATCCATCAGTCCCCACCACCTCGTTGAAACTCTAGAGTAGAACCCAGCTCGACAGAGCTCCTACCACAGCATCACATAGGTCGACTGAAGAAGGAAGATGGCAAGCAGAGAAAATATCAAAGAGGAGAAGGGAAAGCCACCAATGGCAAGAGGTGGACCCACATGCATTGATGGTGGGTCAGTTGACACACCTTAAATAATATAAATCTTGTTTGTAACGTGTAAAAAATTAAGATTTGATAGTTCTCGTGTTAATTTTTCTTATCTTATCCATCTTAAACTATGCTTTAATACCAGTTTGACACTATATTTTTACATTTTTTTCCTAGACTGAAGCCCATTAAAATTTTTGACCCATGTTATACACAAAGTTGGGTCTGCTATTGCCTATGGCCACGTGTGCATAAAGCGGCCACCAGAGTTAGAGACAGCTGTCGGCTGAAAGTTGCAGGAGAGAAGTTGGAGGTTTAAGAACATGTTTATTGGTGTATACCCACAATATAGTTTCTTAGATAACTTTTATTAATAAAAAATTATATAATTAAAATTTATTTTAGCAAAACAAAATAAACCATTCACAAAAAGACATGCGGAGGAAAAATAAGAGATCAAACTAAGGGATATCTCTTAAATTTCTTAAATAAGAGACATCTCTTATTATTTATTATTTTAGCTAAAGATAGTCCTTCTGTTCACCATTTATTATTTGCGGAGGATAGCTTGTTATTATGTGAAGCCTCTACTCAGGATAGCATCGAAATTTTGGATTGTCTGAAAATTTATGGGGTGGCTTCTGGGCAAAATATCAATCCTTCAAAATCTTCCATCATTTTTCGTAAAAGTGTTGCTGATGACACTAAATAATCTATTAAAAGATTTTTGGGTATTGAAAAGGAAGGCGGGGAAGGCACATATCTCGGTCTACCAGAATGCTTTCAGGGATCTAAAAAAGATCTATTAAATTTTATCAAAGAGAAATTAGAAGACAGATTACAGGGTTGGTATTCCAAAACTTTGTCAATGGGAGCCAAGGAAGTTTTAATAAAATCGGTTGCTTTAGCCCTCCCAATATATGCAATGTCAGTTTTTCGGTTACCAAAAGGTCTTTGCGAACGTATCCCGAGTGCGATTATTGAGTTTTGGTGGAGTAGCAGGGATAAAAAGAGAAAAATTCCAAGGGTTTCATGGGAAAAAATTTGTAAACCCAAAGAACAAGGTGGTCTGGGGTTTCATGACATTGGTCGTTTTAATCAGGTTTTGCTTGGAAAACAAGCGTGGCGAATCTGGAATAATCCTGACTCTTTGGTCTCTCGTATTCTTAAAGGCAAATATTTCAAAAATGGCAATTTTCTGGACTGTGGTATGGGGACACGGCCTTCTTATGCATGGCGCAGTATCATGCATGGTAGAGAGTTATTAAAAAAAGGTTTATATCAACACATTGGCAATGGGGCTACTACCAATGTTTTGGCTGAAAACTGGATTATTGATACCATCCCTCGGCCGCCTATGTACCGGGAGAATAGTCCCATAGATTTAACGCTAAAAGTGTCAGATTTACTCTTGCATGGGTCAAATCATTGGGATATTAATTTATTACATCAAACTTTTACGCCTCAGGATGTTCAGATGATTTTACTTTTGAAACCATCACTGATACTTGAAGATACAATTAGATGGGGTTTCACATCAGGTGGATCATATTCGACTAGGAGTGGGTATAAGTTGTCTGAGGTTTTAGTGGATTATGATCGCCCTCCAGGATTTACCCTTACTCCTATCGAAAAACAATTGTGGAAAGAATTATGGAAAATTAAAGCCCCACCAAAAATAAAACATTTTATGTGGCGGGCATTATCTGGTGCTTTGGCAGTCAAACAACGTCTGACAACTCGGGGTATTCCGATAGACCCAACGTGTTTGGTATGTGGTATGGAGGCAGAGAATATTTGTCATGTTCTCTTTACATGTACGAAAGCACGGGCCACAAGGAAACAAGCTAATTATCCTTTACCTTTAGGTGATTTTTCTCATAATTCAACGTTTTTAAATTTGTGCACCTAATCAAGAGTGCTAAGAACTCAGCCACAGATATTCATTACGAAGTATTTTCCCATGACTATTGTGGGAAATTTGGAAGGCTAGGAACGCTTTTGTTTTTGAAAACAAATATATTGAGCCCTCTTTCATTGCTAAGAAAGCATATGAGGAGGAATCTACATGGTGTGATACATTTTCCGGAACAAAGGATAGGGTTAATGATATTCCTATTCCTATGAAACCACCAAAAGGTTTTCTCAAATGTAATGTTGATTCCTCATGGTTGAGCTCTAATCATATTACTGGTGCTTCATGGATTATTACTGGTTCTTCATGGATTATACGAGATGACATTGGTCGCACAATCATGCATAGTCGTCATGGTTATTCTTATATGCGTACAAAAGCAGAGGCTGACTTATGGGCGCTTTTCTGGGGAGTGGAATGTGTTCACAATTTACACTTCTCAAATATTATTTTTGAGACTTCCTCGGAAAACCTTCATGATGCACTCACAAGACCAGATGACCATCTTCACCTCAGTCATATTCATCACTCTACTCTCTTTCACCTCACCAAAATCGATTCATGGAGTTTAGACTATGCACTACCAGAACGTAATGAAGCTGCTGACGCTATCGCTATAAGTGTAACTCGTGACCAACGCCACCAGTCATATCTCGCCCGCAATAGACCCGCCTGGCTCCATCACCTCCTTGCGCTAGAGACCCAGGAGTGAGTGTTTTGGTGAGCTCGTTTTAATTTCTATCTGATGTCTACTGACATCTCTTATTGTCTTTTGTATTTTTCATCGTGTACGTTCCGAATATTCACCAATGTTATAAAAAAAAAAAGAGATCTCTTATTTCTCTCTCATACTTTTAGTTACTTTTTTATATTTTAATATACTAAGTGACTTAGCTAAGAGACGGTAATAAACATGCTCTAAGAGAGAGACAATAAATAATGCTCTCCTTTTAAAAAATGTTTACTAAATGAAGACAATAAAAATAGCGTGCAAAATTTTATGTTTCATAATCACTCATTTTTTATTTTAAGTGGTTTCACATGGTCCCAACTCCCACGTGATTTTAATCGAATTCTAATTTCCAAGTTGTATAAGATTCTGATTGAGTTCTCCTAATTGGTAATATCATCTCCCTCTTGTCGAGACTTTAACTCAAGAAGCAAAAAGAAAAGAAGAAGCCGAAGACATGTATACGGTGAGTTTCATCTACGTGTGGGGATTAGTGATGGTCTCATTGTGTTACACTTTTTATGTTGCCAAATTGGTTGGAAGAGGAACAATGAGGCAGATTTTGATCTTTCCAGTCTTCCTCATTTTTTTCATAGTTCCTCTATTAGTGTCTTCCATACATTTAGTATGCATCACAGCTTTCTTCATCGCTTGGCTCGCAAATTTCAAGATCATTCTCTTTGCTTTCGGACGCGGTCCTCTCTATTCAAACCTGTCTCTCCCTGTCTTCGTAGCCGTTTCGAGCTTGCCCATCAAGATTCAGCTGAGCCCTAAACCAAGCACGCTACAAGGATCCAGAGAGGGTCTCTTGAATTATGCCAAAAAGTTTGCGCTTTTGGTTATCGTCACAAAAATCATCGAGTACAGCAGTAAACTGCCCGACAAAGCCGTGCTGACTCTCTATGTGATGCTTCACAGCTACTTCACTCTCGAGGTCATCCTATCTACTGTATCTGTTGTGGTTAGAGCCACCACGAATCTTGAGCTTGAACCACAATTCAACAAGCCACACATGGCGACATCACTCCAAAACTTTTGGGGAAGACGATGGAACCTGATGGTTACTGGAATCTTAAGGCCAACTGTGTATGAACCAATGATCCAGCTGTTGTCATCAGGTGGCTTGAGTCGGAACCCGTCCCAGTATCTTGCTGTCTTCATCACGTTCGCTGTCTCAGGGTTAATGCACGTGCTCATTTTCTTCTACATTGGACGGTTGAGGCCAGACTGGAAGGTAATGTGGTTCTTTCTTATAAACGGATTTTGCACATCGGTGGAGATCGCTATTAAGAAAAACGTTAAGGGAAGATTCCCCACAGCTATAAGTAGGGTTTTGACAATCGGGTTTGTGATGGTGACAAGTTGGTGGCTCTTCTTCCCGGAGTTTAAGCGATGCAATTTGTTTGAGAGGGTTTTCCAAGAGTACGTATCCATTGGCGCATTTGCAGCTGGGATCAAGAATATCATCACCACATCTCTTTTTTCTGCTTACCGATCTTGAGTTTTTTACTTATTTATTTCTAAGTATAATAATTTTTTTTTCTTCAACAATGTCTTCATTAATATATCTAAGTAATCACAATACTAAAAACAACATCATACAAACCATGACGTGCAATAAGCTAAAACCCCAACATAAAATTCAAGGGAATACAAAAATAAAGACGTAAATTTAAAAAAGTTTAGTAAAATGTTATACAAGATACTAAAGTTACCACTTATGATCTTTTCTAAGAACATCTCCAATCTATCCATATATTTTCCTCTATATGCTATAATGAAGTAAAATCTACTCCAATACACATCTATTTCTTTTTGTATAGAGATTGCTATTCTTTCTTTCTATAGTTAGCAAAAAAATACCATTTCTCTATAATAGGGACATAATTTTTTATTTACAAAGTAGTCCCTTAACCTTTTGTGATTGTAACTAAAATACATGTTTTTAAAGAAATAAGTTTTTACATATAAAAGCACAGCTTTCTTTTTTTACATAATAATTCTTAATTTTATAGTTATAAATAAAATAAATAAAAATATTATTATTTTATTTGAAAGCCAGGCTTTTATTTAATGAATGATATCTATACTATTATTTGCGAAGTGATTTTTCGCAACGGAGCTCTCACGTTAAAAGTTAGGGTGGTTAAAGTCTATGTTACCCTTAATGAATAATTATATATAATTAATAATTAACAATTTTATATTTTATATTTTATATTAACAACATATATTTTATATTAGCTAAACACGTTTAAGAAATCTTAGACGTACCCGAATCTTTGCTAGGTTATATAACCACTTATTATTTCTTTGCTCACACGAATTTAAAACTTCTCCTTCGTCTAAATCTTTTTTTCTTTTTTAGGTTATCAAAAAGGTTAAGGTTATCTATTATTATAAACCCTACTCATCTTCAAAGTAGCTACCGCTCATTTGTTTAGGTTTTTCTTCTTTGTTTATTTCTTTGTGCAGAACCAAAGGTTCTGAATCAAATGAATATGGAATCACACAGTTTGGAATAATTATTTCTGTTCCATAAGCCATAGCACGAAACAAGTCTTTATTTCTTTCTTTCCGTTCAGTTTGGTACTTTAAGGACTCATATATATGTTGTTGTTTGTAGTATTTGATATGAACCTTAATTTATGATTTAATCTTTTTCTACGTATGTATTGCAGCCATAGTCGTACGTATATGTCACTGCAACCCTGATCCTGGAGCATTGACGGACCCTCCAGAGCTTCCTTGGCTGGAAACGGACAAATGAGAATTTCAGGTTTCCTTGCATAGTCTTCCCTCACCGGCTACCTTGTGAAGCTGACAGTGGACGCCATGAAATCAGCTCCGCTGACTCCTCTAGAACCAAAGTTGTTCAAGCAGTAGCTGAGAAAAACTGCAACTCCTATGAGTTATGGTAATGTCATGATCGTTGTACGAGAAAACACTATCGATGAAGGATCCCTCACTGCTGTGTTTAATGTGATACATGCAGCGTATCATCTTCATTATGTGTTCATGGTGCATTCATTCCAGCAGAAACAACTTTCTGAGTTTGGTGGCAGCATTGTAGGTTTCTTTTGCGGCTGGGAGCCAGGACACAATAATGGTGTTCTTCATGCCTCTGCAGTTCAAATCCAGAAAAAATATTGTGGTTACGATTCATATATATTTGAATAATAATTTCCTTTAAAAAAGTTGAAGGTGTTAAGATTATTTTTCTTTTGCTACTATATTATGGTTGGATTTTACTGACTGCATTTTTTAGGTAGATGTGAGAGGACATCTTGTGACCACGCTTTCAAACGCGATACAATCAGGCACTGAAACATTACTATCTTCGATAGAAACATATAGTTGAGACTTGTGAGACACACTTTGTGAATAGCAAGATTTTTCTAGCTCAACTATGAACGACAACAACAACAATATAGAAGAAGCTGCGAACTAAAACATGGAAGATTATCTAATCAACATTGATACTCCTTTAGATGAAGACACTTTCATGTCTTTTGCATTTGAATGACGATCCACTGCATCGGTGAAATCCGTACACAGTTCATGAGAAAATGACTAAAATAGTACTAAAATTTTTTTTTATCACAAATATAGCACTTAAGAAAATGATTAAAATAGCATTTAATGTTTTATAAAAAAATAAATATACACCTATATCCCAATAATAAATTAATTTAGACATTTAGAGTTAAGGGGTGGGGTTTAGGGTTTAGAGTTTAGAGCGGTTAATATCTATTTTACCCTTAATGAATTTTATATATAATTAAAAACGAATTTATAATAATAATATTAGATTTATATGTTATATTAGATTATTGATTATAAATCAATATGATAATTGTCAAAATAAATACACATTACAAAAATAAGATAATTCTTATAGATATGATGTTGTTATCTTGAAATAATATTTTTCTATTACAAAAATTAAAAATTTGATTATAAATTAATATGATAATTGTCAAAATAAATACATATTACAAAAATAAGATAAGTTTTATAGATATTGTGTTGTTATCTGAAAAAAAATTATTATTATTTGCGAAGTGATTTTTCGCAATGGAGCTTCCACGTTAAAAGTTAGAGCGGTTAATATCTATTTTACCCTTAATGAATTTTATATATAATTAAAAACGAATTTATAATAATAATATTAGATTTATATGTTATATTAGATTATTGATTATAAATCAATATGATAATTGTCAAAATAAATACACATTACAAAAATAAGATAATTCTTATAGATATGGTGTTGTTATCTTGAAATAATATTTTTNTTAGAGCGGTTAATATCTATTTTACCCTTAATGAATTTTATATATAATTAAAAACGAATTTATAATAATAATATTAGATTTATATGTTATATTAGATTATTGATTATAAATCAATATGATAATTGTCAAAATAAATACACATTACAAAAATAAGATAATTCTTATAGATATGGTGTTGTTATCTTGAAATAATATTTTTCTATTACAAAAATTAAAAATTTGATTATAAATTAATATGATAATTGTCAAAATAAATACATATTAAAAAAAATAAGATAAGTTTTATAGATATTGTGTTGTTATCTGAAAATAATATTATTTTATTACAAAAATAAATATAAATGTAATAAAATTTAAAATTAAATATTAATTAATCAATTAAATTTGTATAATGATATTTTTTTCAAATATTTCTAATATGTGAGAAAGCATAAATAATAGTTTATTATGTTGAGTTATATCCGTAAGAAGATTATGCCCGCAAGGCGGGCACAACACCTAGTTTAAAATATTATATTGAGATCTAAAAGTATTAATTTAGTTATTAAAATTTCACATAAATTTTACGTTGATAAAAAATTAAGTATTAATTAATAAAACACATTTAAACAACTTAATACTTTGATAAATTACTTATGGATCCACAAAGATCGTTAAAATATTTTCTAAACTAAAGTAGATGGAGGAGGAAATTCTTGATTTTGCTGCTGGTGGGAAAAGTATGGTAAGATAATGTCTTTATTATTTTTTTTTTTTTTTTGCTTCCGGTTCTAAGAACACTACAAGAAAACTCGTCCTTTACTAGGACGAGTTTTCCTCGTTATTTCCTAGTAAATGGTCATTTACTAGGAAATAACGAGGAAACGCGTTTCGTCGAAAGACGTTCATCGTAAAACATATTTTCCTCGTAATGTCCTAGCTATTTTACGAGGAAACATTTCCTTGTAAACGCGTGGATAAGTTTTCCTCGTAAGATCCTCGTAGCTTTTTCTCGTAATGTCATAGTAAATTGTGTCTTCGTAATCTCGTAGTACGATCTTTATGAGGAACCTACTAGGAAAATTTACGAGGACTTTACTTCGAAACATTTACGAGGATTTTGCTTCGAAATAATTTTCCTATTTAAAAAAAATATTTATAAATTAAAAATTATATATATTAAAAAATTTAAAAAACCAAATTATAAATAAAAAATAAATAACAAAATATTTATAAATAACTAAATAATATACAATTAATAAGTTTTAAAATTCATAATATACAATTAATAACTAAAAAAAACTAAAAGGGATGCTGCTCGTGAAATTGCTGCACGAAGTCGTCCTCTCCAATGTTGGATGCCGGCTATGACGACTGTGACGGTGGAGGCTGTTGGGGTGGAAGGGCTCCGCTTTCACGTCTCTGACGCAACATCTCCGCCATTTGCAGGTTTCCAACCGCCATAATGTCGACGATCTTGGTGAGCGACTCACATGAGACTGCGTCGCCTGCAACTCCATCCGCAGCTGAGCATTGGCATCGTCCTGTTGGTGAACATAAGCCGATGTCACTGTGGGGACATCGTTAACAGAGCCAATCCCGACAATACGGTTCTTTTTCCTAGGGACGACTTGTAAATAAAAATATTAATAACGTAAGGAAAATTTTAAATAAATAATAAAAATTAATATTAAAACAAATTATTTACCTCCTCGTAAATCTTATCCACTTCAAGAGTGGATAATACGACTGGAGCCCCAGTCTGCTGAGTCAGCTGGGTCTGGCGTTCGTCAACTCGGGCAACAACCTCGTTGTAGATCCACTCGGAAGCAGGATCTACAAACTGCCCACCCTTTTTCCGGTGGGTCCGCTCGTAAAGGTCTTTCAGAGATGGAAGAACTCCTGTCTCTTTAGGCTAATTTTTTTTTTCAAAGTAAATATTAATTTGGAATATTCAAATAAAGTAAAAATTAAATAGTTATAAAAAATCATCTTACCATGTCTAGACGAACTCCCCCGTGAGGTTTTCGGCCCGTGGTGTGAAGCATCTTCGTGTTGCCATACTCGTCTGTGCTCATGCGATTCCCGGAGTTTGTCTGGGAGGTTCTGATCGAGCCAGGCAACCCCCAATAGCTGATGAGGCCATCCCACACCGTGGTTGTGAGGCAATTGGGTTTCCCGCGCTCGTAACCGTCCACCTGATTTAAAATAATTAGAATTAAAG